ATAAGTACTGAACTATTACTCGACACTTACCTAACCATATTCGATCTAAATTTTTTTATTTTAATTCCATGAATCTATAGAATTAAAATAAAATAAAAAAATTGATTGAATTTTAATTAGATACTGGTAAGTGTCGAGTAAGCTTCGCTTAAAGTTTTAATACCTTTTAAAAAAAGATGCGGCCCAATTTTGTTTTGAATTTTAATAAATATTCCTCAACAACCACCTGTACAAATTGGATTAAAATTTTTTATTTAATTCTATAGATCCGCAGAATTAAAATAAAAAATAATTTATCAAATTTGTACAGGTGGTTGTTAAGATATCTTCGCGCAAAATTTTTAAAAATAGTAAAACGTTTATTGTATTATGAAAATTCGTGGTACCACCCTGATTTTGAAAAGTTCGGTCTAAAGTGATTATTGCGCAACAACAAGACTTTTAGAAAATATATTAAAGTTATGCTTTGCAAAATTTACTTTCAAATAAACGAGAAATTATGGAGTTACTACGTTTTTTCACTTTGTATTAAAGACGAATTTGTTTTTTGGTTTGATTTTTTTTTAAAAAAAACTTTAAGCGAAGTTATTTCAGCAATCATCTAATCAAATTTGATGAATTTTTTTTGTTTGAATTTTATGGATCTGTAGAATTCAAATAAAAAATTTTCATCAAATTTGATCAGCTGGTTGCTAAGATAACTTTGCTTAAAATTTTTAAAAATATCAAACGTCAAAATTAATTAATATCATATTATTTAGAGTTGTACTAGTATGACAAGTGGTGCTTTGCACCACACCCATCTTACACAGAATTATAGTAGACACAATACGTGATTAGAGTCGTATTTATAACTTGATAAATTTTACAAAACTTGTTAATACAACACACACTGGTTAAGATTGATTGGTTTGTATTAAATTATCATAATTTTTACTATAAAAATTCTGTAAATAAACTGCTATTCTAGTTACTATAGTATCTGGTTAAGGTTTAGTTTGTATTGATATTGTCATGATTTTTGCAAAAAATTCTGTTACAAAACTTACCATTCCAGTAATAATAATATTCTGTTGAGTTAGTTTGTATCAGAAATTTTATAATTTCTATGATGTGAACTGTAAAAAAATTATATTACAGGACTTACTACCAGTATTCAAAATTTCGGGTCCAAATACTGTTCTCATGAGAACAGGTATTCTCAAGGTACGGTTTTATATTCACAATAAAAGAAAAAAAAAAACAGTATATTAGAAATATTAGTATTAAAAAATAATTCAAAATTACTTATAATAGATAAATATATCTTAGATTAATACAGTATATTCATTAGTTTCTGACTTGGTATGACATGCAGCTGTTTATTATATGGGGATGAGTCAATAGAAATCAGGCAAATTTTTATAATAAAAATTTTTTATAACTTTAAACAAAAATAACCTAACCCAAATTTTTTTTAAAATAATTGTTACAAACTTGTAGAATTAATTTAAAAAATCTTTATTAAATTTAAATAAGTTTTTTTTAAGTTATTCTTGTTTAAAGTTTTAAAAAAACACACTAAAAAATATTTGCTTAACTTCTATTGACTCAACCATATATTTATGAGAACACTATTATTATTTTACTGTTCTCAAAAAATTTTTAATAGTGAACAGTGAAAATTTTATACTGTGCACAAATTTATAATAGTGTACTCTGAGAACACTAATTTCGAACACTGATTGAGTTAGATTGTATTAGAATTATCGTGATTCTATAGTAAGTTGTTCTATATTTTGGTTTCAAAATTATTTGTTATTCCAATGACTGTAGTATGCAGTTGAGTTCGTTTGCATGAATTTATCGTAATGTAGTTAGTACGTATTAAATTATTTGTAATTCCTTTCATGAGCTATTGTAAAAAAATTTATTAAAACCCTACTACTCTACTGATCATAGTATGTAATTAAGAGTTAGCACTGAAGTTACTGTGATATTATCATGAGCTATTGTAAAAAAAACAACCTTTTATATAACTTAATAACTACTCCAATGATATATAATATAGTTAATATTGAATTGGCTGACATTGGAATTATCGTGATTTCTGTGATAAGTTACTGTAAAAAATTTTGCTACAAACTTACAACTTCCCCAGCGTAACCACCAAAAAAAAACCCGGGCATGTGATCATTGTGGCTAATATTGTCGATCTTTTGTTTCGCGTATCATTATTTGTAATCTATATGTAATTGTTATGTTCGACATTAATTTATTTTACTATTATTATTTGTAATCTATATGTAATTGATATGTTCGAAATCAAACATAACAATTACATATAGATTACAAATAATGATACATATCAGTAACGAAACAAAAGATCAACAATATTAGCCACAATGATCACATACCCGGGTTTTTTTTGGCGGTTACGCTGGGGAAGTCCAAACTTACTCGTTATTCCAGTGACTACAGTATATGATTAAGGCTGAGTTAGGTTTATTCGTTTTTGTTGATTCAGTATTTGAATTATCATAATTTCTACTGCGAGTTGCTGTAAAAATTTAGTCCAGAACTCACCTTTATTGGTGTATGGTTGATTTAGTTTGAAATCATTGTGATTTCGCTGTAGCTAAGATTGAGTTAGCTCATAATAGAGTTATCGTGATTTAAATCGTGGTTACTATAAAAAAATTTTGCATTAGAATTATCAATTTCTGTCACGAATTACTGTAAAAAATTGTTATAAAACTTGCTATTCTACTATATTCTACTGGCATAGTATACGATTAAGGTTGAATTGTTTTGTATTGGAATCATTGTGGCTTCTCTGTAGTTAAGTTGAATTAGTTCATAATGAAATTATTTGATTTCTATCATGAGTTGCTGCAGAAAATTCTGTCACGGAACTTGCCCGATATTCCGTCGACTAGATTATTATTGTTTCAATATAGTTTAGGTTGAGTTAGTTCTATTTTAAATTATTATAATTTCTTTCATGAGTTGCATAAATAATGTGTTACAAAACTTACTTGCTGTTCCGGTGACTACTTATAATTTTATGATTTATATTATAAGTTGCGCATTTCGCCGACAATCACTTCACCGACAGCTTAGTTCACCGACAATTAATTCACAGACAAGTTCATTTCACCGACAAAGCAATTCTGGCCATTGTTGTTAGTGTCAGGTTAGAATTAGAGTTAAGCTTAGTGTAATTTATAAAAAATACTTGTCGGTGAGATGAGCTGTCAGTGAAATAATTGTTGGTGAAATGAACTTGTCTATGAATAAATTGTCGGTGAACTAAGCTGTCTGTGAAGTAATTGTCGGTGAAATAACATGTATCCAAAAATACAATTAAGTAGAGTTTAAAACACTGCACAGTTCTAGAAATTTATTAGAGTAAGTAATCGTCAAACAGGTTACCCGATGACCCGGGTTGACCCGTTGATCCACTCGGGTGACCCGCCGGGTCACCCGGGTCATGGTTTTTTAGACGGGTTGAAGCACTAATTTGGTCTATCCCTTGTAGAGGTCAGAAATCCCAGCCATTAAAAAAACTTAATATACTAAGTATAATGAGATCTAAAATGCGTCAAAAAAAGACAAGACCGGTGGGAACATCAAAATAATATAGTTGAAAAAGAAATACACATACAAATGGACGCAATATTATAGTTATTTTCATAAAATTCTGGAAGAGCGAAGTATAAATATCCGATGTCTACCATCGGAAATTTTTCGATGGTCACAGAAGTTATGAAAACAACTGTAACAGCAATTCACTAGATTATTTTATCTGTAGCTATGGGTATATTTTGTGTGTAAGTGCTGCTGAACAAAAATTTGTGTGCAATATTTTTTTGTTTTCGACAAGTTTCATCTAATGTAAAAATTCAATCCTGTAAGACTAAAATGATTACTTACAGGTTTTCGTTTGTGTATATTTCATTGATCGGTTTTTATAATACATAGTTAAACGTACAAGCCAGATAATGCAGATAACATCTCTAATTATATCAATATTCAATATAAGAACTCGTCTAGGAAAATGTCATTTTGGTAATCCTCGGGTTGATTAGTAACGTCATAAAGTTTATTTTATGAGCCCTAATTCATTATTTGTGGCTCAAAATTTTTTTCGATATATTATAAAACTATATTTAATAATTTGTAATTGATATAATTTAAAAAAATTAATCTTTTGATAATCAGTATATTATTTCGGAATGGATCAGTTTTTATATCATATGATTGTATATCTCCAAATTTCTATGTAGTTTTTTGTAAGGTTAATTTAGCGAGTGAGTAGATATAAATATTTTCCACTGATCCGAGTACGTAGCTAATATAAACTTTTTAAAGCGTTTATCAATGTATGTAAATTGTAAATTAAGTTATTCTAGTTTACAGTCGGTGTTAAAAAATTTGTTGTGCATGTATTGTTTTTTGCACAAAATTTACAATACATGCACAAAAAAATTTTTTCACTAATTGCACAATTGCACAATTAATTGTGCAGCCAAGTAGCTTGCTAATATTAGCGTTAAATAATGTTATTTTTGTAGGATTAAGATTGTATATTTCTAGTTATGCTAATCACATGTTTAAGCAAATATTATCGAAGCGAACATAGTTATTATTAGTTCAATAATATCGTTATAATAAAATAAATTAACTATTTATGTCTTTGCAGATCAACAATAGCGATAATTTTCTTTTGATCTCTTAATCTGTTTAGCAAGCAATCTTGTATACTAACGGTTAAGAGATAAAATTATTATAAGTTCAATAATATCATTACAATAAAATAAATTAACTATTTATGTCTTTGCAGATCAACAATAACGATTATTTTCTTTTGATCTCTTAATCTGTTTAGCAAGCAAGCTTGCATACTAACGGTTAAAAGATAAAAATGCACTTGTTGACTTATAAAATTATAATAAAGTAAATTTTATAAAAGTATACTGTGAAAGTCTAATTTACGTAATTTATACTTAGACTCAAATATGAATGATAAAGGCAAACGTAAAGCTACTAGTGAATTAGAGATTCAAATTCGAAATCAAAAAAAATCACGAAATATGGCATGTCCACCTTCTTCCTGGTTAAAAAATTGGGAATGGTTAGAATACCTTGAAACTGATGGAACTTTGCGAATGTTTTGCAAATTATGTAAGGCAGCAAATTTTGATAATGCATTTACTCGGGGAACTAATATTTTTAAAAAAGATATTGTTAAACGACATGATGAAAAAGATCAAAAACATCAAAGAGCTAAGCAACAATTATCAGCATAAGTACCTCATCAACTAAATGATAATGATATGAAAATTATACGACAAATAAAATGTGTTTACTTTGTAGCCAAAAAGCATCTTTCTTTTAATATATATCCTGATTTATATAGTTTAGTTGCGAATAGTGATAAAATTTCATTAGACCCTCAAATACTTAAATTTTCTGCACTTAGTTTAGAAGAATCTGAAGGATCTAAAGAATGCAAAAGTTATGGTTCTTATTTAAATCCCATTGCAGCTCGAAATTTTGCCATAGCAATTGCGCATATAATTGAAAGAGAGCTTATTAGTGAGATTAAGTCTGCGAAAAACTGGAGCATTATGATCGATGAAAGTAATTCTATAGATGAAAAACATCTTGCTATTGCAGCACAATATGTAGCACTTAATGTACCAGTTATTCGTTATATGGGTGTAATAAAATTAGATGACTGTAGATCAGAGTATATTTTTGAAAAATTAAAAGATTTTATAGCTAACAAAGGTTTAAATATTGAGAATATCATGCATTTTGGTAGTGATGGCGCTCCAACAATGACTGGTAAATAAATAAATATCTTTTTTATAATTAATATACAGATATGATATATTATATATTAACTATTACTATTAATATTTATTATAGGTTCAAAAACTGGTGTTTCGACAAGATTTAAAAATTCAAATCCATTTATGACATCAGTACATTGTATTGCGCATCGATTACATCTCGCAAGACAGGATGCAGCAAAAGAAGTTCCATATTTCATAGAATATGAATCTATTTGTAAATCATTATATAGTTATTTTAGTGGCTCATACAAGCGTATGTTAAATCTAAAAATGATTCAAGAAACTAATGATGAACCGCAATTATGTCTACTAAATATTATCAATACTCGGTGGCTCTCTATGTCAAATACAGTTCATAATTTACATCAAATTCTCGATTCTGTTAAGGATGCTTTAAATCATGATTTTATAACTGCGGAAAATTAGCAAGATAAGGAGAAAGCAAAAAGTTTAATAGATTGTTTGAATTTAAACTTTATATTAACTACAAAATTTCTAACCGATTTAATGTATATTTTAACTAAGTTAATTAAAATATTTCAACGAGATTATATATCAATTTCTGATGTTGAATTTCATTTAGAAGCAACAATATCAGCAATTACGACACAATTTATTGGATACAATAATGTACTACCAACATATGGAATACACTTATCAACATATATGGCTGAAAATTCTATAAGCCTAGAACAACTTCCATCCTCGCTATATAAATTTGCATTAGCATTAATTCAAAGTTTAAAATCTCGCTTTCCGGATACCAATTTATATAATGCAATGAAGATCTTTGATCCAAAGCTATTACCTCATAAAGAAGATGATTTGTCAAATTATGGAAATGCCGAAATTAAAATACTAGCTGATTTTTATGGAAATGATAAAGAAACTGATACTGGCAAGACAATTTTAGCATTAATCGATAAGCAAGAATTAAAACAAGAGTGGGGGTTAGTTAAAGAAATGATGAAGTCTATTCGGAAGTTTAATTGTATAGATGGATGGCGGTTTATTTTTTCTACAAAACCATATTTTTGTACCGAATTTCCAAATACTTCTTTGCTTGTTAAACTTACTCTTATTATTCCACTATCTAATGCTCATGTAGAACACATTTTTTCTCAACATAAATTAGCTAGGAATAATTTGCGAAATCGTATGAATGTAGATACACTCAATATGCTTTTAATGATTCATGAAAACGCACCTGAAAATATAAACTTGTTTGATTGGAAATCTACTTATGATTTTTGGAAAGAGCAACAATTACGATATATTAGTTGATAGTTGACTATTATGTATTATATATATATATATATATATATTATTTGTTATTCAATAAAATATTCATATGATCTATCTTGTGCGTATTGTATTTTTGTGCAAAAAAATTTTTTTTGCACTGCATATCTTTTAACACTGGTTTACAGTATTTACAGATCTTTATATGAACTATCACATTTTAAGCTGATTATATCAAAAAGTCATTTACACGTATTGTGACAGATTCAAATGAAAATGAAATTGTGCTATATTTTAAAATGAAATTTACACGTCTGATAAATTTAGGTACATTTGTTTAGGATTTGGGTTAGAGTTATTAATAAAAGAATATACAACCAACGGTATATCGAAATACAAGTAACTCTCTATATAAGAAACCTTCGAGCCCTCGATATAAGAAAGATTTTGCAAGTTCCAATTATAAACTTTATAATAAAAAGCTGATATAAGAAAATCTCGATATAAGAAAGGGTTTGACTGGACCCGGAAACTTTCTTATATCAAGATTCACTTGTATACGAATTTGGCAGGAAAATCGCATCACATATTTATCACTTATTAGATTTTCACGAGTTCAATTTGATATAAAAGTCCGAAGTTTCTGGCAGCGTTCAAATGATTTCTATACATTTTGGGTTAATACATTTAACTTCTCAGTGGGTTAGCTTTTTTTATTTATTTTTATTTCCAATTAACTACCTATCTTATCTCATACTACTATACATTAATATTATATCGTTTATTCATCAATTTATCTGTCAATATTATCGTTAGTTGTTCTTACATGTGAGACCTTAATTCACCCTTCTGAAGAATCATGGTATGAGTCACTTTGTTAACAAAAATCCAAATATGGTATGACATGCGTTTACAACGTATCGAGTATCTTAACGTTAAGCACGACATTTGGACGTGCTTAATGTAACGAATAATTTTGTTCAAAGTTTCTCACATCCGCATTTGTCTATACAACCACGTATACGCTGTAATTACTACGTATACTCTGTAATTATCACGAATGCGCTGTAATTATTACGAATACGTTGTAATTTTTATGATCACGCTCTAAGAAATTAACATGTATATAAGTGCTTGATCTCTCCCTTGACTGAACAACAATATACGCTCTCCAAATTCCTCTCGAAAATAAGGATTACGTAAACTCACATTCTTTTTATAATAAATAGAGGTCCAATCCGGATAAATCCGCTATTGGTATCCGGATAATCCGACAAATATTCGGATAATTATCCGGATAACAATAGTAAAACAGATATCCGAATAAATTCGGATCTGGATATTCAATAGATAAATGGATAAACGGATAATGGATAGGAACTCTACTAATAAACATAAATATCCGAATTTCATAACTACTGCCAAGTTCATGTGACCTTCTAACGTCAACCACCGGAGGCATGATAATACAGTAAGACCTCTCTAAGTGCACGCCCTTGGTTAATAACATGCATATAGAGAATGATAAGAAAAAGTGTGTTTATAGATGTCAAGTATATTTTTGGGCTAGCATTTGAGCGTACGTTTGGAGAGGATGTGCACTTAGAGAGGTCTGACTGTACCAAACTTTCCCTTTCGATGGTTGCACTAACTACTAGTTTTTTTTTTTATAAATTTTTATTTAATATATAAACCTTTACACCAAACCATATAATAAACAAATAATAAAACCTCATGGATAATAAACAATTGTTCGCATACTAAATTTTTGGATTGACTTGATTGGTCAGTGATTACATTAACTTTTATAAATAAGCCAATTACAGTAAGACCTCTCTAAGTGCCCCTCTATAAGTGCTGATACGGGGTGAATCGTATGTTTGATAATTTATATACGTACGAAAATATAGATTTTATATGGGCTAAATGCTGGAAAAAGGGACCAAATTGACAATTTTTTCAAAAGCTATTTTTTACATAAATTGATTTAGAATAAGATTAGGATCATTTCTTATTTAAGACACAAAAGTAGTTGTATTAATAAAATTTTGCTATATTGCTCTTTAAAGTTTGCATTTTCTTATGATTTATTATAAGATCTACAACATAAAAATTGATTTTCCGAAGATCTTTTGTTTTGTCAATTTGGTCCCTTTTCTCAGCACCTAGCCCATATGATGTAAGGCAACTCACCAGAGGCGTGACGTTGGTGATTTGGTTCATATAATATGAGGAAATTATTATTAGATTAGTGAGCTTATGTGCCCCTTCCTCGCACATAAGTGTTGTAACCAACTTTATCTAAGTTATGTCCTTTATATATCATTAAAGGACTAATGAGGCTTAAACAAAACTCACCTTAGGGAGCTTCCACTTATTAGGTATATATAGCCCCTCCAGAGTCAGTCATTTGACAATTACATGTTCTAAAGTAATTAATCGTTTGACAATTGTAAGCTCTGTTACGGGGTGAATCGTATCCTTTTACTATGATACATGAAAATAAATAGTTTTAGTGATAAGGCAACTCGCCAGAGGCGTGACAATGGTGATTTAGCAATAGTTTAGTTTTTAAAAATGATTTTATCAAGGTGATATATTCAATGTAATATGTTAGAAATATCATAATCCCATAGGATATAAAGTGGTATTTACAAGAGTGAAATGTCAATGCTTTTATAGCTTTGACTACATCTAAGATAAGAGGCTTATAATAATAATTTACAACATGATTATAATAAATAAAAGGCTTTGCTTCGCTTCTCTTCAAGATCTTCTTTTGTTCTTCTTGGAATTCTTCTTTGGATTTCATATAGGTTATCATTTCCAATATTTAGTTAGTAAGCCTTATATACTAGTCGATCTGGAATTCCGATGGTCAATTTGCATAAAGTCATGAGTTTGCTGCACCGATTTTGTTGATCTACCTTTTAGCCCGTGACATTCGCCCAGACCTATTTTATGCATACCATGCATAAATATCTAACTAAAAATATAATATAAGTACATAATAATAACAATATAATAAAATAATAAATAAACAATATAAAGTAAAAAAAATATTCTCATTCTGATATTTCATTACCTGAGTGGCCATCACGTATTCTATATGAGATCAGTACTCTAGGAAGGATAGCTCCACTCACTGGTATCGAACCCAGGTTACTCTGCTGCCAGAGTGAATATCCTAACCAGTAGTCTACATC